GTATACGGTGAATATATGGAGTGTGGGGTTTTACTTTTTTATCATAACCTGCACCTAGAGGAGCGATATGGGAAATGCATAATTCTCTCAACTCAGTTACTGCTATAAAACTGGCTGTTAGACATACATGAAATCTTCTTCTCCATTTAAGCTCTACGAAACCCAGAATGTGCGGCACGGAATGATGACTCTTGGACCCTCAGGTTCGGGCAAGTCCAAGTGTGTGACCCTTCTGCTGCGTGCCCTCACGGAGATCGACGAACCTCACAAGGAGGTCCGAATGAACCCGAAGGCCATCACTGCTCCACAAATGTTTGGCCGTCTGGATGTGGCCACTAACGACTGGACAGATGGTATATTCTCCACTCTTTGGCGACGCACGGTGAAAATGAAGAAGGGTGAGCACTGCTGGATCATCCTCGATGGACCCGTGGACGCTATCTGGATTGAGAACTTGAATTCTGTTCTGGACGACAACAAGACGCTCACGCTGGCAAATGGTGACCGTATACCTATGTCACCGCGTTGCAAGATCCTCTTCGAAGTGGATAACGTGGACAACGCCTCCCCGGCCACGATATCTCGAAATGGAATTGTCTACATTAGCAGCGGTGCTCTCAACTGGGAACCGTTATTTAAGGTGGGCAAAGCATTGTGCCTTTATTCCATTATAAGAGCAGGCGGGACAGAAAGACGGTGAGAAACGGATATATGACTTCATGCAGTTTTCGTTCTAAGAAATGCCTACTTTTGTCATTAGAGTAGGCGCACTTTAGTCCCCTTTGCTTCCACTCAAGCCCCGTCGCGCCCTCCTCAAATGTTACGACTAATTGCATACCATGCCATTCTTACTTATCAATGTGTTATCGAAACTTACTCTCAGAATCCTTAGTCTATTAATGAGACTATTATATATTCCTTTTAACTCATCTGCCTAGCCGTCAAATCCACCACTTTTGATTTACTTCGACAAAAATAGTCCCGTTGTGGTTTTCTAAGCGGGAATAAATAGCGATTAGAGCCAATCTGGACTCCCTGTAT